TGAGCGACCCCCGAGTGACCCTTGACCTTTGCGTGACCTTTTGACCCCCGGCTGACCTCTGACCTTTCACCCCCAGACCCTCTTCGCCGGCTACACCGACAACCTGGTGCGGGTGTGGCAGGTGACCATCGGCACCCGCTGACCCAAAATCCGCCTTTTTCACCCCAAAAATCGAAAAGTCGCCGCCGGAGTCGCTTCCCGTCACCTCCGCAAAGAAATAAAAGAAAAAGAAAAATAAAAATGAAAGTTCTGATGACGTCATCGGGGGAGGGATTTCAGGGCCGTTTCTCGCGTTTTGGGGGAAAATCTTAAATTTAACAAAAAACCCAAAAATTAAAAAAAAACACACCCGAAACTTAAAATAAAAAACACCCCAAAATTTAAAGAAAACCCCAAAATTTAAAAACAAAAATTTTTTTTAAAAAAAACCCCAAAATTTAAAAAAAAACCCCAAAAAATAAAAAGTTTTCCCGGTGCTTGTCCAGTTCTCCCGGTGCTCGTCCGGTTCTCCTGGTTTTCCCGGTTCCCTCACAGTTCTCCCGGTTCCTGTCCGGTTCTCCCGGTTCCCACCCGGTTCTCCCGGTTCTCCCGGTTCCCTCCCGGTTCCCGCCCGGTTCTCCCGGTTCCCATCCGGTTCTCCCAGTTCCCGCCCGGTTCTCCCAGTTCCCTCCCGGTTCCCGCCCGGTTCTCCCGGGAATCGCCGCGGCTTTTCCGCCTTCCGGCGCTCCCCGTGACCGGGGCTGGCTCCGGTTCCCGAGCGACGGCGGGGCGGGGCGGGAGCGTCACTTCCGCCTCTCGGTGCCCCCGGTGGACCGGGGGGCGGCGGGGCTTGGGCGGGAAACGGGGCGGTCCGAGCCCCAAGTCCCGGTTCTGGTCCCGGTACGGGTCCGGTTCCCCGTCTCTCCATCAGTCCCATTCCCGGTCCCGGTCCGGGTCCTGGTCCCGGTCCCGGTCCCGGTCCGGGTCCCGGTCCCAGTCCCGGTCCTGGTCTCGGTTCTGGTCCCGGTACGGGTCCGGTTCCCCGTCTCTCCATCAGTCCCATTCCCGGTCCCGGTCCCGGTCCGGTTCCCGGTCCCGGTCCCACTCCCAGTCCCACTCCCCATCCTGATCTTGGTCCCGGTCCCGGTCCCGGTCCCGGTCCCGGTCCTGGTCCCGGTCTGGGTCTCACTCCCGGTCCTGGTTCTGGTCCTGGTCTGGGTCCCGGTCCCGGTCCCGGTCCCGGTGCGGGTCCCGGTCCCAGTCCCGCTCCCGGTCACCGTCCCGGTCCGGGTCACCGTCCCAGTCCCGGTCCTGGTCCGGGTCCCATTCCCGGTCCTGGTCCCGGTTCGGGTCCTGGTCCGGTTCCCGGTCTCTATCAGTCCCACTCTCGGTCCCGGTCCCGGTCCTGGTCCTGGTCCAGTTCCTGGGCCTGGTCCCGGTCCTGCTCCCGGTTCCGGTCCTGGTCCGGGTCCCACTCCGAATTTTGGTCCAATTCCCATTCCCGGTCCCGGTGCTGGTCCCGATCCAGGTTCCGGTCTTGGTCCCACTCCCGGTCCCGGTTCCATTCCCGGTCTTGGTCCTGCTCCTGTTCGTAGTCCTGCTCCCGTTCCCGGTCCTGCTCCCGGTTCCGGTCCCGGTCCGGGTCCCAGTCTGGGTCCTGATCCTGATCTTGGTCCTGGTCCTGGTCCCGGTCCCGATCCAGGTCACGGTCCGGTTCCCAGTCCCGGTTCCGGTCTCACACCATCTCTCGGTCCAACTCCCACTCCCGGTCCGGGTCCCGGTCCCGGTTCCAGTCCCGGTTCTGGTCCCGTTCCCACTCCTACTCCCGGTCCCGGTCCGGTTCCGGTCCTGCTCCAGGTCCGGGTCCCATTCCCGGTCCGGTTCCGGTCCCGCTCCCGCTCCCGGTCCGGTTCCCTTCCCGGTTCTGGTCCCGTTCCCACTCCTGCTCCCGGTCCCGGTCCCGATTCTGGTCCCGTTCCCACTCCTACTCCCGGTCCCGGTCCGGTTCCGGTCCTGCTCCCGGTCCAGGTCCCACTCCTGCTCCCGGTCCCGGTCCTGGTCCCGTTCCCACTCCTACTCCCGGTCCCGGTCCGGTTCTGGTCCTGCTCCCGGTCCGGGTCCCATTCCCGGTCCGGTTCCAGTCCCGCTCCCGCTCCCGGTCCGGTTCTGGTCCCGTTCCCACTCCTGCTCCCGGTTCCGGTCCCGGTCCTGGTCCTGTTCCCACTCCTACTCCCGGTCCGGTTCCGGTCCTGCTCCCGGTCCGGGTCCTATTCCCGGTCCGGTTCCGGTCCCAGTCCCAGTCCGGTTCCGGTCCTGCTCCAGGTCCGGGTCCCATTCCCGGTCTGGTTCCGGTCCCGGTCCCAGTCCCGCTCCCGGTCCCGGTCCTGGTCCCGATTCTGGTCCCGTTCCCACTCCTGCTCCCGGTCCCAGTCCGGTTCCGGTCCTGCTCCCGGTCCGGTTCCCGTTCCCGGTTCTGGTCCCGGTCCCGCTCCCATTTTCCCCAAATTCTCTTTTTTCCGCACTTTTTCCCTCCGTGCAGCGCGGAGCGGGCGCGCCGTTTCTGTGGTGTAGCGGTGATCACGTTCGCTTTTATTTTATTTTATTTTATTTTATTTTATTTTATTTTATTTTATTTTATTTTATTTTATTTCATTTCATTTTATTTTATTTTATTTTATTTTATTTTATTTTATTTTATTTTATTT